TTGGGATATAGTAGCGTTGCCATGGACGTTGATCCATCTCAAACTTTGTGAAGTTAATTTGTCAAATAAAAAAGTATTCTATACAAGCTTTTGTTTTGATTGTGTTTTGATATACTAAAATAAAATGAAATTAAATCATTTGTTTCTTAAAACTAATCACATATTTATGACAGTTGAGACCAGTGTTGTTGAGGAACATAAAAATATTAGCAAATACCAGTTAAAAAAAAGTGTTGTTAATAAAATTTATATTAAAAAGTATTAAGTAATACTGCAAAATAACAAAAGAATTTTTTTTGCCCTGTATATATAATTTTTTTGACGGATGAACTCTAGTAGCTTATAAAATTAAACTTAAAGATTTACTCTAAATGTTTTCCATAGCAATAACAACTCTTTTGCAGTTTCCTTATTATATTCAATATTAAATAGGATTTTCTGTACAAACAAATATAGTAAAACCGATTTGTGTGAAATGGGCAAAAATGATTCGTTGAGCGAAAGCGCCTCAGCTGAACTTGACAAGCGTAAATAATTGACCGTAAATATTACGAGCATTCCCCTGACGTTTACCAACATCTCAAATGAAAGTACAACTTATTGTTGTAAATCCTCTTTATGCAATGCAAAACCGAAAAAGGACCAAAAACATGTAGAAATTTATTTATAGGTAACTACGTACAATAGCAAGAGCAGTTTATGTAAATAATCCAATTATGTAAAAAGAGAGGAAGGAAAACAAACAACGGAAAAGAAGAAACACCAAAAAAAAAATTCTTTTTGAATATAACTAGCCAACCAAATAAAAAAAAAATTATAAAAAAAAATATTAAAATAGAAAATGTAACAGAGCAGAAATATAAAAATATAAGAAAAGGAATTGCTTGAGGCTGCAGATACTGTTTATGTTTCTGCCGAACCAGGAGCACACATATTATTTATTTATTGACAATACACACGACGTTTGGCCACAAGTTGCAAAGGCGAACATGAACTAAGTTTTGCTTTTGTTGCAAAGATGCATACATGCAAGTGGGCTTGTATTGCTTCTAGGTGCTATGCATGAGGACTCTCGATTTTGCACACTTCATCGCTTGCAAAACAATGCGTTTGTTGCAAGAACGCATAGCGTATGTCACGTAGAAGGCATGTGGTTCGTTGCAAGAGCACAAGTAGAGACAGCTAGTATGTTACTGCCGTGGCCGCTGGTTGTGTTGGGTTGGTGTCGACATTTATTTGTGTGGTATATACATCATGCCGTATTTTCGCATCTAACTACTACTATAACGGCTATTGTTATTTCAATACATCACCCCAAAAAAGCACCAGCTTACCGCAGTTTGCATACTGCTGGCACATGCACATCGCTCATTCATCAGCCTATGCTGCTTGTGCGTGCCTTCAAGCTTTGCGTGAACTTCGAAAATTCGTAACATCAAAAGACGCAAGCAAGCAAGCATACGCAAGCGAACAGCAACTCTTCCAGTTGCAAAACAATATTTTAGCCGATTGTCGTTGATTCAGTTGATAGATGTATGTATGCACCGAAGATGAAGGAGCGAAGCAGCTATGGATGTGCATATGCTAAGGATGTGTACATACATATGTATATGTGTGTACAGCTGCTAGCAAGTATCGCAGCATATATTTAGAAGCATATATTTAGGTGAGCAAGTAATTTTGATAGCGAGTGTTCACCGGCAAGGCTTGGCTTCTTTTTGCCGTGCTCCTGCCTATTAAGTCAACTGCTTCCTTAGACTTTGACTCGTACGCTAAAGGACTGGCTCCAACACTGCGTAGTCAATGCTGAAACTCTTCACTTACATGTATGCACGTATTTATATATATATATATATATATGTGTGTGTGTGTGTTTAAAGCTTTTGCGTTTGTCACGTTGTTATAGCAGTAGTCACAGGCACTAGAACAACAAACAACCGTCACCACCAACCCATTGCTGCCCCCGCCCCAAACCATCAAGTACATTATGCGCGCCATCGCAGCCAACCAGCCACCAAGGGCTACCAACTATGATTGTTGGTTATGCTATAGCATCAACAACAGCATCTGCGTCAATAGCAAGATTTTGGTTACCGTGGCACTTGGATTGGCAGCCCGGCTGTCGGTCGCAGTAAGTTACCAGGCTGGCGGCGGGCGATAGGCGGGCGACAAGTCGGGTATTTTAACGCTGCTCTTTCGTGTACTTCACATTTACTGACGTTATTCGCCGACGCTTGGTTTGTGATGTCTTGCAACATTGCTTGGACGGACTATTTGCTGGTCGTACAGTGTGTGTGTATGGATTGCTCCAGGTTCCGCGTCACAATATTAACTGAGGGTTGCGGATGAACTGTATGGTGTTCTAACTCACGTATTTATGTACATATGTAGGTATAATTTTTGCGTTGTTGTCGTTGCTACTACTTGATGGCCGTGTGGTTGCCACGTAAAGGCGTTTTAAAGGATGTCGAGGAGTATCTGTGTACACTGTGTGCTGAAGGTAGCGTTTGTAGCGAAAATAACCAACATGAGAGGGATGCGGGTAAATGAAATCAGCAAACAGAAAAAAATTTTTGAAACAAAACGTCGAGTGCGCATAAAAACAATGCACGAATATAAAGTAGCAAATAAAAACAATACAAACAACAACAGCAACAGTAATAAGAAAAATTTTGCTGGAGAATAAAAGTTTTAATCCTGCAGGAGTGTGCGAGCAGGCAGTAGCAACAGCAACACTTTTGTCTTTCGCCATAATGCCAGCATGTGGATATGAAAAGCAATAGCAAGCAAAGCAAGTACCACGAATGTAACAAATAAAAGCAACCAAACAGCACTCGGGAATACGTAAAACTGAAGCGAAAATCAATAAAAGTGTAGGCATGTGCAATGGGGGTAGATGCCATGGAAGACAAATATTCACATGCGCACCGGATAGGTAGAGTATTAAGACACACAGTTATTTATACGTATGTAATAAGTGTGTGTAAAGACTAGAGCAGTACGTTGTTATGCGCTATGATGTCGGACGGACTTACACTTGAGTCTTAAACATTTCTTGGAAGTGCACAATTTGGTCGTTGCCGTGGTGAACCTTTGACAGCTAACACACAGGCGCACATTTACACCCTGCAGGTACAGGGCGAATGCGAGCTGACTGTTGTAATAAATTTGTAATTTTGAGCTATTGAAAATTGTACACATTTCTGTAGTTACTACTCATAACACTAACATATCACTGATAACATTAAGAGGTAGGGAATTTAAGCTTATATTTTGTTTAATATTTACTTATTTGTGGGTTAAGGTATCTTAAGTCGACTAGATTAGATTTTTGGATTACTTGTAAAATAATCTGGATCTAACCTTTATTTAGATTATGTATTAATTTGAACCTTTCGGTCTGAATAATCAGCAATTTGTGAGAATATATATTTAATTATATATGTATGTATATATTAATTTATATTGAAAAAACAGCATTCTTGGCACGTTCGCTCAGTCAAAGCACGTTCACCATAAACTACTTCTACCAAAATACGATGTATTTCAGCTAAATTTCCAGCATATGCGGATATTGGAAGAAATGACTAACAATCAAGAATATAGTTATAGAACCCAATTCCCACAACAGCCCATTCTGCGTTACCGGAGATTACACATATTTTATGCGGCCAAGGGCAAATGAGTTCCAGAGTCAATATTTAAATCCATTTATTTGCACTTTTTTTGTATTATTATTATTATTAATGTTAAAAGATTGCACATAAAAAGAAAAGTCCAACTCAAGCGACTAATACCATTTGTTTTAAATTACAGACCACAAATGAGAGACATTTTAACAAATATTAATACTAGGCAATTGCATTCCGTCTTCTTTATTGGCGTAGACACTACTTACGCGGTTATAGCCGATTGCATTCCATCTACATATGTACATATGTATATAAAATGCATCAATATTTTAACAAAATTACTTTTTAACTAAACTACATTTACTGATCGGCTGATTCACGCCTTTCAAATTGACAGTGCTCACGTCAAACATCCATTAAAATTAATGGTGACAATAAATGCATAAAAAGTGATTAATTATCTTTATACTAATGTACTCATAAAATTTGCTTAGCGAGAGTTAATAGCCCTTGAAAGGTTATTAACATTATTTTTATAACGCGCAGTTAACAGATGTTTTGCAAAACTTCAAAATTTAATAAATTAATATAATATAATGTGAATAAACCAAAATATTGTGACTTAAGCTGCAGGTGTTTGTGACAATCGAAATGCAAATTATAAAAACATATGTATGTGTGTATGCATTTACATGCTAATCCACCAAAAGCTACAAAAATGAATAACAAAGTATGAGTAAAAATAAATAGAGGCTAAAAATAAATTCGAGAAGAGCACGAAAAGAAAATACGGATATAATTGAGAATTCTCAATGCATCAATGCTTATTTGCATAGAGCACGCAAGCGAATTTATCGTTCGTTTGGTTTGTTTGCCTAAAGAATTGTAAAGATTAAAACACACATGTAAACAATAACGAAAAAAAAAAAACAAATCTGACGAATCTAGTGAACCACCTTCATTGTGGCCACGGGTACTTGGTCAAAAAGCGTGTTTCGTGTTACGGTGTAATTAAAGTGAGAACAATAAAGTGTTACACAAGTGTCGAGAATAATAATAACAATATTGAAAATGTAAGAGCCCGCGTGAAATACGAATAAAATAAGTCGCAAACTAGGCATAAATCGAAAAAATAACAAATCACTTATGAAAGCAAATTACTTCTTTAGACACATATACTTAAATAAGCAATAATTTTAATGACGCTAAATCACCGCTAAAACAACAATTACAAATAGCGCTGTCGTTAATGGCGGCGATTAACGAAAAGCCAATGAACGAACTAAAAAATTATTCAAACGATTCATTCGTTTGCGAACAAGTGTTTTAACAGATACAAACAAAAAAAAAAAAAAAAAAAAAAATAATAATAATAATAATAATAAATAAAGAAATGCCTATTTGTGCGGTTAAATGCTTGTTTACAGCGTATTACTTCGTATTCAGCCGATTTATGTGTTAAATATATGGATATACAAGGGCCTGCCATTAATCGGTGTTTCTCCCAGCTTGTGCGAACAGACGAGTCATCACCACAAATGGACAACAAAGCGTTTACTTTGATTTTCCAAATTAATTCGTATGTATGTTTGTATGCAGTTACATCTTCAGCATAGCTTTGAAGAGGCCTTCAAGCGCCAAGTGCGCGCATGGTATGCTTTGTAGGTGAAACACTTTGAGGTTATGTAAATGGAATTGTAAATTCAAAGACCGTCAGCAAAGTGGTCTTTTACGTTGCTAGGCTTTCGCACCCGTTTAAGCATTTAATTCATTCATAGCCGCTCAGCCGCGGCAAAGCTCATTTAATGTTACTACAGCGTCGGGGCGTCAAACACAAAAAATTGTTTGCAATTCAAGCGTCTCAATGATAAGTGTAAACAAAAGCAAGTATGCGGTACAATAGGTGATATGACGCGCCCACTTTTTACTGCTGGCTGCTAGCAATGATGTGGTGTGGTGTGCCCACCATTGCCGCTGATGTATTCTGGTGTGGTGTGGTGTGTTGGGTGGCGTGTTATGTTTACCGCCATTTTCCTTTTAAGAGTGCTGCCAAGTTCAGTGTAACAACTTGGATATCTGTTTGTTTTGTTAATGAAGCATTTGCGGCGGTGGGCTAACGGGTGTGGGCAAAACTATTAAAGAACGAATAGCTAGTGTTAAATAAGAAATATATAGAAAGCACTTTAAAATAATGGATAATAAAAGTAAAAATGAAATAAGCAGTTAGTGGGGAGCTAATACAGTAAATATAACTCTTATATGATATGTTTTCAAATCGTATTAACGGATAATTGATTAGATTTATGAATTTCGCCACTCAAGTAAAATTGAATTATTTAGATTTCTGGTACTTAACTAACACGTATGGAAATTTAACAACCACTTTCTGCAATAAATAATTTTGGTATTTTTTATTGTTAACATTGGCAGGGGGCTTGCCTGAAAAAAGGCGATATTAATCTGCTTCATTATTAAACTGAAATACTCGCACTAAGTTGGTTTAAAATTTTAGAATGTTCACAACAGTTTTTCATAATTTTCCACGAAAATTTTCGATTAAGAAAATATGGTTTTGAGGCATAAAAATAAAGCACTGTGAAATTTGAAAACGTTATTTATTTTACAAAAAAATGTTGAATTTCAATTTTTAAAGTTTGAAAATAAATTTGTATGCATTTTTGAGGGTTAACTTGCCATGAAAACCCATACATATAAAAAAATTAAAAAAGCATAATTTAATAAAAAAAATTAATGATAATATTTTTCCCGAAAAAAAAGAATTAAATTAAAACGCTTAATTATGCATTCACTTTAGTACTCAGTTAATTTATTTTCTCTCAATGTAAACATAAGCCAATTAGCACATGCTCAACTTACTGATTGCCGTGCTCAGGTATTGAATTATACAGCGATCGTTAGCCCGTTACAATTGATGTGATGCACAATTCGTGACTGATTTGGCTGTAAAGCAAAATATTTGTGCGAATTTATTGGTTTATCACGAAAACTCGAGTCTATAATTTTGAGTCTTATTTTTTGTTTTTGCTCTTTGAGCGAAAGGAAACTTATGTAACTGTAGTATATCTTAAAAAATACCCTGTACAGGATATAATATGTTTGCTATGAAGTTTCTAAAAGCCAGCAGGCAACGTTGGAGTTATGGGATATAAATATAAATATAGTGTGACGTCTGTGTTGTTCGTCTGTTTATACGCAAACTAGCCCCAAATGTTTGAGATATCGATCTGTGGCTTTCCACACGGCCTTTTCTTCCCAAGAAGTTGCTCATTTGTCTGAAGCACCTATACGGTTTCTCTTTAGGATACAGCTGTCGTACAAATTGATCAATTAAAATACAGCTATATCAAGTTATCGTTGTGAAAACTTTTTTATTTGGAAGATATCTTAATGAAATTGGACATGGATTATTATATGAAAAACGCTACTATCTCCGACCAATTTGCTCAATTCGGATTTGTAGTATGCCATACAAACTAAGCAATTAGTTCTTGGTTACTTCTGAAGGGTATTGTACATTTGAGGCAACCGAGTTTAATTAAAGTATGCAAATTCTACATAAAATCTATAAAAATTGCATCAATATAATATGTATATATTTTTAACTCAGTTTGCATAGATTTCTACTTGACAAATTATATATTGTATTCAAAGTTATTCAAGGCAACTAAAGATTAGATTTAAGCTGTCTCATTATCTGTAATTGCCATCATCAAGTAACGTGTTATTGACATTACGCTGTCAAGCGCAAAAAATTTGTAAACTGCTGTCACTTTAGTGTCAGTAAAACAAACCAAGTTGTCAAATGCAATCAGAATCAGTTAACGATGATTTAGCAGACGTGTGTTTCATAATAGAATTAGTGAGATTACTCACCCCTCTGCTAAGAAGTTGAAAACGTTTTCAACTAAAACTCGTTAATGTTTTGCAACTTCACATCATTTTCAATAGATACACATGCATACACGCTAAAAAATCAAATGTCTTAATTGTGAAAGTTCAGCACGTGATCAAGATTCCCACTGATGGCCGAGTAAATTAATTAGGCCAGATAATTGCAAATCATATGCTTAAGGGTTAAACAAATGTACATTTATACAAAATTAACTTCATTACACCTCAATTAAATACGTATTTACATTTAGAGATGTGTTTGTCAGCTAAGCAAATAGCAGAGGCCTTCACTGGCTGGTCAGATTTTGAGACGTCATGCATCAGTTGTGGCGTGTTAAGTACAAAATACACTTATGTAAATATTCAAATACCAGGAGAAAATAGTTTAACAAAACTTCCAACTATAAATATAACAATGCGTACGCACGCGACTACCCGACGGTGTCAAGTAAGAGGGCGTGTTGACGGAATGATACGGCATTTTGCCAATGCCATTCGCATGTGTACATAATATGTATATCAGATAAATTCAAAATAAAGAAAAATTTGATTGCAGTAAATAAGAAAGAAACCACAAAGACGTAAAAAAAACCTAAGGTTAACTGTAAATATTCACAAAAAAGCGAGCTAAATGCAAATACCAAAAGAATGTGCAAAATTCAAAATCTTAACCGCAAGCGATAAGCAAAACACAATGTTCGTCCGCGCACTCGGTCGACCCCAAAAACTGACCGACACGCTGTGTGTCATTAACACTGAAATTATATTTCACAAACGATGCGTTTTTGCGCGCTCTTTTGAAACTTTTCTTTTTGGTGTTAATAAACAAAAAAAAAAAAAAAACAGCACAGAAATGAAGTAGACTGCCAGAAAACACTGAACACTGTTAAGGTAAGAGAAACGTGTGTTCGTTCTAGTGCAAAGCAACGATTAAATGTGTAATTCGARCGCATACATATGTATGTACATATAGTATGTACTACATACTACATACATATGTGTTTATATTGTATGAGTAACACAATTTATAAACGGTTTATGACATTTTGGGCAGGCAATCTTTGGCTTAATTTTCCCTTGTGAATTGTGCTGGCAAGTATCCACACAGTAAAAGGCAAAGATTCGTGTGAAAATATGAATGAAGAGAGATTGCAACTGTGGGTTGCGCACTTGCTTGATATCCTTTTTAGATAAGGTTAAAAATGTATCCAATGACAACTACAAATGCACAGAGTTAACTAGGCGGCAAAACTGTCACCTGCTTAATGCCGCTCTTCGTAGCAAAACAGATACTAAAACACATGACAGTGAAGTGAGCGTGGTATTGCCATCATACTGGAGAAAGTTTTATAGAAATATATATTATTTTAAGTGTAAATTTTTTTATATATAGTAAAGATTACGATAGTACTGATTCAAGTGGTTGAAATTATTATTTTTAATTATGTGTACTTTTTATTTTAAGAATCGTTCAGATACAACGAAGTATTTAATTTATTTCGGTTTAATACAATAAGAACCCCGAAATTATATATTCATATTTATTAAAAACATATTTCTTCTATGGATTGGTTTTTGACGGCAGCTTTCTGCTATAGTGTTATTAATAAAATCTTTTTTATTATCTAAGTTCTTTATTAAGTGTTCCTTTATTTATACATAGATTATTATTAATATTTAAATTAATTAAAAAGCAGTCCAATCATATAAAAACTAACTAATATAACAATAAAATATATATAAAAGTGTGGGCTAAAAAATCTCTTCCACTGGCAACACTTTGAGAGAGAAATGAGAGTATGAGAAAAGTGACTGCGCGGTGTGAAAAGGTGACCATCTTTGACAAATAAATAACAGAGACAGTTGGTAGAGTGGAATTGTTTGGAAAATCGAAACTAAACCAGAACAGAAACAGCAATAAAAAAGGCGACGAGAATGCACAAATGATGCAAATAAATGATTTTTTTTAATAACAAGTATAGATAAAAACTAATATCAACTGAATAAATGCGAAGTAGCCAAATTTTAAGGTAGAATGTCATTTGTGCAGCAAGAAAAGATGGACAGGGCCCAAAACAATACGATGAAATTAAATTAAAAGAAATGTTTGTATGAATCTAATTGAGAGATGAACACCCAAGTAGTGATATTGATAGTGTAAAGCAGCGATTAATTTGTTTAACAATGACAACAGGCTGCACTTGAAGACCACAAAGCAATGAAGTTCAAAACTGTACATTAATAGCAACAAAATGACCAAAAGCGCTTAGCTGCTAAGGCAAATGGTAACAAGTAATAGCCAATAAAGCTAACAATAACAACAATTATAAAAACAAAATCTCGAAATACCAGCATAGCATATTAATAGCAACTCCAACTCTAGCAACAACTTGCAAGCACTAACAGTTCAACACAACAGTCGTTGACTTTAGCGGCCACAAATCCCATTGAAAATACAACACTAACAATAACAAGCACTAAACATACAAACAGTCAAGCAACCAAACAACCGAAACTTCAGCATTAACGTTGAAGCTGATGATGATGATGAGGATCAAGCTGATTAATAATGATGTTAAGGTTKTTGAAGAATCACAGAACAAAAATGCGATAGGAAACAAACATGACGGAACACTTATGCATACACCGTCACACGCACACACAGTTTGTATGCCTGTATGCATGTGTTCTTGTGTACAAATGCCGAAAAAACCTAATGGGAAAAAATGTATCTATATCTGTTTTTGTTYTTGTCGCCACTTTTGCTAGGAGCTACATATATGTATAACTATTGACATCGACTGTAAATGTCACTGTTGTTGTAGCTGCTATTGTTATTGTAGCTGCTATTGTTGTTGCTATTTTGCTGTTGTTACGGCTGCTCCTGYTGTTATGCTATTATTGTGGTTGTTAGTCTTGGTCTTTGCACCATCAAMATTTTAAGCCTCTGCGCTGAAGATTAACTATAGATATTTAGATTTTTACGAATGCATGCATACATATGTACAAAAAGTATGTAAGTGTATTAAGATAGTTAGCATTCTGGTTAAATTTTTGGTTACAAATGATATATTTACACCTCTTTAATACTCACGATAGAATTGCGGAAAAATTTTGAAAATTTTAGTTTACGAAACTAAATTGGAAAAGTGACTGCTTTGTTGGTATATTTTTGTAATTTGTTTTTTTTTTTTGTTAATTTTTATTCACCTGTTTTTTGTTGATTTTTATTCAACTTTTGTTTATGAGGAGGCACACTTAATTTCACTTTTATTTTTATTTAATATTTTCTTTTCAAATATTTGTTTTGTTTTTGTTTCAAATTTTTCTTCACTCACTTAAGTGTGTTTATTTCACATAATTATTTTTTAATCAATATGGACAATACACATTTATTTTTTTGACTGCGCATCATACACACAGCACATGTACACACACACATTTAATGCCACATTTGTTGAGAGTAAATAATATTTCTTCGCTTCGCTTCTCTTATTTTATTTATTTATTTTCATTTTTGTTTGTGTACCTTGTGTTGAACTACTTTGCCACAAATCAAATTTGCATTTCATTATCTTTTAATTATAAATTCAATAACATCTCTTTTATTGCTCACTTATGGACGAAAAAGCTGCCGACTCAATTTCTTTTCATTCACCTCACCGCTGCCGCACACACACACACACACACAATACGGCACATCACTACACTTTAGCGATATCTCGATAGATGCTATTTTTTGTATTCCTCGCACGGGTGCACTTTAACACATTTTAGTTTATTTTATATTTCTTTTTATTTTCACTATTTATTTATTTGATTTTATTTTTTTCCAAATATTATTCTATTATTTGTTACAASATTTACACTGCATGTATTTGTTGTTGCCTTTTGACTTGCGGCTTGTGTATATATATTATATCGATATCGTGCATTCATATAGATTGTGCACAAGCACCAACAACAAATAAATAAAGCACATATAAAACTTTATACTACACGCGACGGCATTGACGACGAGACAAATAGAATTTTGCTGCCATTCATTGCTCCCCGGCACGTAATACTATTCAGGCTAACCACACAAAAAATTTCATATCCCGTCGTCGTCGTAGTCGTCATCGGCGGCGACATTCGACGTTCTCATCGTTGCCATCAGCATACAAAAAAGATCTCTGGAATAACAGCCAAATACTCGATTAATGTATACAACAACAGAAGGGAGAACCGACCGACCGACCAGCCAGTCAACCAAACAACACACAACAACAGCACAACAACATGACAGCAGCAGCCGTAAACAGTACAAGCACACTCGCAAACACATACATACAGAGTCAACGTTATAAGAACGGTGTGGTAAAAAGGAAGTGACGAAAAAAGGTACGTACATATGTATATATTTGTTGTATACGAAACGAAGTGAAATGAAATGAAATAAAAGAAACATTCAGTCAACATATTCGGTATCCGTATTCGTACGTGTGGTGCGCCATACACGTAAAATCACTTAGCCCAGAGAGCAACGGCACAACACACAAGCTAACACCGATACACGCACGCACACAAACATAGGTAGATACATTCGGTTAGTCGAAAAGCATGCAACAGCAGAAGCATGAAGTAGCAGCGCGCGGCAGTGTCAGTGGCAACACCAAATGCGAACCGACTAACGCAAAAATAGTAACAACATTATTTAATAGTAACAATAGTGCGACATGGCTTAAGCATATCAACAGAGCGCGCGCACAAAAAGCGTTGGCGTTGCCAGATGGGTAATTTAATGAGCGATGTTAGTTATTTGGTGGAAGAAAGAGATATTTAGAAGATAATTACATGATTTTTTCAGTTATTAAAATTTATGGATATTATGAAAATTGCGCAATCTACAGTTATACATTTCTATATAGTCCAACAAGTTAACAAATACAACAATTTATTATAAATAATKGTATTATCTTCATATTGACATAATATGATACAAATTTAATGGAAATTGTTTGCTAAAATCMAACAATAAACTCAGAAGTTTTTAGATAATTTTGTAATAACTAGAAAAATTGGCTAAAATTAAATATAATTGCATTGCATGAATAGGATTTACATATGTGAAGTGCCTTAGATAAATTAAGGAATTTGGGATGTATTTGGACGTCGAAACATCGAAAAAAAAAAATTAAGAAATAGAGCAAATTCCCATATCAATTCTTCWAATTCTTTTTTTAGAAGTCGCCGTTTTGTCAAAAATCAAAATTTTGACTAGCCTAGGTTTGAGGGCTTCAAAAAATCGTTTATTTTTATAGTCTTGTTAAATTATTCAACACCTCTATAATATTGTCCTAAGTTTTTAAGTTGATCCGCGTAATAGTTTCAGAGATATACATATGGCCTGAATGTGCTTTTCTCAAAACTGTGCTTTTGAAGTCGGTTGGCAAGAATTCACCAGAAGAAATCTTCTTCTTGAAATTTTACACAGGTCTTTGAGATTCAATACTTAAAGACTTGAACGAAGGRTTTTGTTTCGATTATAACTATTTGAAAAAATATATCGGGAAATTTTATTTTTTTTTTTGGAACGGAGATGACCCTTTCTCAGAATTTCCTTGYTAATTGTGTATGTTTGTAACAATAAATTTTTTTAATAAAATATTTAAATTTTTATATCAGAAGGAAATTGTTGAAAAAGGTTGTTTTTTACCCGAGAAAATCCATATAACCTCATAATAAAACAAATCATTTATCAGCCATTATCAACAAAAATTCACTGCAACCACCAATCTGGTAACGCTGCGCCGGTTAAATCGACTATACCAAAAAATKAGTTGAATGTTGGCAAAGAATTCACAAAAATGTTAAAAAGCGAAATGTACTATGAGCATGCATGTATGCATGTGTATGTGCGGCTCATACACATTTCTCACGTGCAACAACAGCAAAAGCAAAAACAAACGCTGTTGTTGGTTATTGTTCTGGMATGGAAATGATGTTAGACGTATTGCAATGAGATTAATGCCCTGCGTTTGCGTTCGCCTCTCAATGCGTTTCGACTGCGAGCCTCTCTTCGCCGCTACCGCTCCGGCATGACATACAACGTGTGTGTGTGTATGTGTGTACGTGTGCGCATACGTASAGCTCAAATAGCAAAGGTTTGTTGTCAGTGATTCCGGTTTTTGATATTTGCTGTTAACGCTGCTAATCAAACTCGGATAGATGTGTGTCTAAACAGGTAAAAATCTGTACTTATGTATGTAGATATTTGTGTGTGTGTAGTTACTAAAAGCTAAAAGGAAGAAGTGTGTGTGTGTATAGACATTGGTAGAAGCATTTCACAAAAGTTTAGAACTAAACTTCGATGAGTTGTACGCGCTGAAATAACTTTCTGTTCATCAATATTACAGTTAACATTAATGAAAGTCAGGGCAAGTCGCAAGAGATTAAGAGAAAGGAGAGCATACCTACTTATGTATGTTGTATGTGGTGTACATTTCTGAAGTGGTAAAGTTATATTATTCTTTTGCTGCTAGGTTAAATATACTCATAGAAAAACATTCGTGAGAGTCAAACAAACAACACTAAAGTGTATATCAAATAATTTGAGAGGCACTGATGAAGATAGAGAGAGATTCTGCTGCCGAAAGTGACGACGACCACGACGACGACGTTGTGTCGCTGAGAATGGCGATTGTGGTGGTGGAGGCTGGTGATTATGGTAAACGATAAGAAACAACCCTTGACAATTTCACGGAGTATAAACATGAATCACGTCGGCAAGGGGGGGTAAAGGAAGAAGTAGCACTCAACAAAAACCAACCAGCATTGCCGCGCTGCGTTGCACTACTTTTGGGTAGCAAGAAATGTCAAAAAATAGAAGAAATCAGGCAAAAATAGGGCACATGGATAACCAATAATTTTTTGGTATACGGAAATGAGTTAGTGTAATGTGAAAATGGAGAGTTGGTTGCCTTGCATGAATTGCTTTTTGATTTGGGTATTTTATTTCTAACGACGGCAAACTATTAAAACTTTTGTWAACAAAGAACAGAAAGGGGAAAAACACTTTTACTGTCCAAGAAACTTATGCATAAATTGATAATGTCACAAGCAATATGTGGGAATCAGAGAAAMGAGGACGGAAGGAGTCAAAACATAGACAAAAAAGGTTGCTTTAGTTTCAGCAAGCGGAGGTGTTTGATTTAAATCGATCCAAAACCGATAGAAGAAACTAAATTTAGAGTAGCAACGAAGTGCTGTCACAAAATCAGAAATATACATAGACCACAAAAAAAAAATTAAAATTCCAAAAAATAAAAAAATTAAATTAAAAAAATTAAACTAAAAAACAATGTAAAAATACAAAAAACAAATATGTCAGTATTTGTAAACACAATAAATACAAAATCATACAACAGGCCAATAACAAAAACAAAACTAGTGCTCGGCAATCAGGCAGCACTTCAATTAATTTAACGACTTGAAGTCGCGCAAACGAGTGTTTTATTGACCCATACCGCTCATGGCTCATGTATTGGCAATAGATATGTGCGATTTTATCGGAAATTAAATAAACATGTTTATTGAATAATTTTATGCGTTAAATCGAGCGTGAGAACTAAGCACACACCGCAAAGAAAATGTGTAAAGAAAGGAAGAAAGAGCAACAAATAAAGATTTGGTGCCAGATACAATTATCACGTAGCTAACTCAGGAAGAACGGAAGGCAGCAAAAACGAAAAAATGAGAAAAAAAAAGAAAATCAGTGTCTCGAGCAAGTATCTCTCAATAGCTACATATTCACAGGCGCGTACACACCTTCTTTTCTTTCCGTCTGAATGACTGGCTGTGTGTCAACAAGCTCGCTAACAACACTAACGACAACAACAATAACAAACGCACTCKTGTGTATCTAAATAACAGCAAAAGCCATAGCAGTCAATAGACAATCGCATGAATATGCATACGAGTAGTATAGTATATGGTATGGCCGCTTCTTTCGGTGGAGCATCAAGCGATTTGCTTGCTCATCGCGCGACACTGTCAAGTGAGTTGTATGTGTGCACTCAGACATAACCACACCATCTATTTAACAGCACAACAAATCTGTCGATGGCATCTCGCCGAAATGTCAGCAAGTTAAACACGAGAGAGCGTTTCGTGGGTCGTTAAAAGGTACAACAACAAATAAGAACGGAATAAAGATATGCACAAATGACAGCGGGAACAATGGCAAATAGGCGAATCGGCACAATCAGCCGTTGTAGCGTGTAACATACTGGTTTCGCAGGTGTGTAGAACATAGGAATGACTTTTACTACATTTTGCAGAGATTAAAGTAGCGAAGATGTGTTAACTAATTTTTCATGTCAGTATCTTAGAAGATCAAAAAGGATTCTATTTCAAGAGGCTTGAGCTYACAATGCACAAAATGCAGCTTTGYAGGCAAAGGATGTATGGAGCGGCAYTAAAKTCGGTTGGATTTGATCGTCAATTTTAATAAGACATCTTATTTTAGGGTAGAATKAAGCGCGCTCATACTTTCTGCAATTCTTCGTTATCAGCGGTAATTTTGGGTCAATACAAGTGTGCCAATGATGTTTTTTTATATTTGATTTAGGTCTCAGCTGAAATGGCCTTCACAGCCCAGAAAAATTTGAAGGTTGCTACCTAGTAGGTTGGTTAAGCGATGACTTTTGGTTGTCTTTTATTGGAATATATTATTTTTGGGACTCTAGTCGACGTTATTATTCCCGAATTGGACGGCAACCAAAGTTAGGCAAACTTTGGGAAGCCTACCAAAAAGTTATGTTAGGTTAGGTTAGGTTAAGAGATCAATTCTAATGGGGAGAGCTTCGTTGCGGTACCTAAAGACGCCTATGTACTGGATAACAAAATGATTACAAATCGACGAAGCGYATTAAGCCTACCCTAAATTTGTAGAGACGGCGATTGTCGGGTTTGTCGAAAGCAAGATTACTGAGATGTTTCAGCTTCAGTCGTGCAAAGGCTGGACAAGGGAGGAGAAAGTACCTAAACGTTTCCACCTCACCCTACTCCATACAACTTTGGCAATAACATCAAAAAATTAAGCAAGCTCGTGCTTTCTTTCTAAATAATATATGGCATTAACTCTATGTTTTAAATTATATAGAAGATTACATCAATCTTAAAAAAAATATCGACTCCGAAGAATAATTGCGAGCTCGATTTGATTAAATGGCAATTCCTTATAAAAGTTAACACATTTGTTCAAAAACGTTGGAAATGCTTTATTTTATTTGTGAATTCGACTAAATTTAGAGACAAAGATCAAGCACCTAAYCACACTTTTAGAGAGGAAAATCTATTTTAAGAAATACATATGTTCTCCCCCTTCCAAGTACTATTGA